GGCCTTTTTTTTTTTTTTCTTTTGGAGATAGAGTCTCTGTGTCCTGGGCTAGAGTGCAGTGGTGCTGTCTCAGCTCACTGCAGCCTCTTCCTCCCAAGTTCTAGCAATGCTCTTGCCTCTGCCTCCTAAGTAACTGGGATTACAGGCGTGTGCCACCACACCTGGCTAATTTTTGTATTTTTAGTAGAGATGGGGTTTCGCCATGTTGACCAGCTGGTCTCAAGTGATCCACCTGCCTCAGCCTCCCAAAGTGCTGGGATTATAGGTGTGAGCCAGTGTGCTCGGCCTACTTTGTCTTTTCTGAAAAATCTTTTAAAATTTATTTGATGGACTCTGTCTCAAAATAAATAAATAAGTAAAATAAAATGTACTTGATGATCACTAAGTCTACTCACCACACCATTTTGTCACTGGAAAGGCAGAAATAACCTCTCAAGGCAGCCAGGGCAGCATAGGTAGAATACAGATGGAAACCAATGGGAATCCCACAGGAACCACAGAACAAAAGGTTGTAAGTACTAGGGGTGGGGAAAAACAGAATATGGGTAAGAATAAAAAATCATATAAAAAAGAAAAAACAACTAGTCTCTAAAGCATTCCTATCACTTAAGTCATGAGTGAAAATTGTTGTAATAGGAATGTGACTGAAAGAATGTCACATTGCAGAAAGAGTAACTCAGATTCTAATTTAATTACATGCTGAATTATGGATACCGTCTTAGATTCTGGAAAAAGCAATTATGGATGTATAATTGTCACTTCAGTAGAGAAAGGTAATTTGCCCCTTATAAATAGGAGAACAGCTAACTAATCTGATTAACATTTAGATATTTAAAATTACAAATCACTATATAAAATGGCTGTCATTATAGAAATTAACAGTTGTTGAAAAATAATCAAGTTTACTGGAGCCTTACTAAACAAATTGTTAATAGAACTAAAATCAAGATTTGTCTTTTGCAGATATAAAAAAAGTTAATGGAAAAAATGCCCAGACTAAAAGAGAAAGAAATAAAAGGGAATCCCATCACCCTAGCAAGCAATCTATTTTGTTTTCCTTCTCTGAAAAGATTACTGATGAGGGGTCAGATGTTGATTTTAGTTCTCTTACAATATTTGAGCAAGTCATCACATTTGCTGGTATATAAGACATATTTAAATGTTAGAAAGAAACATGTTGGTCAGGCACAGTGGCTCACGCCTGTAATCCAAGGACTGTGAGAGGCCAAAGTGGGCAGATGGCTTGAGCCCAGAAATTCGAGACCAGCCTAGGCAACATGGTAAAACCTGTCTTAAAATTAAAAAAAAAAATTTTTTTTAAAGAAAAGAACTTTAAGAAAGTTAAATATTTCATCATGCCTGTACTAAAAGCAATTTTAAAGTTGTTTGGTAAAGGAAAAATTTATTTACATGAATATAGAGTATATTATAAAGAATTTTTGAGACAGGGTCTTGCTCTGTCCCCCACATTAGAGCGTAGTGGTGCAATCATAGCTCACTGCAGCCTTAAATACCTGGGCTCAACTGACTCACCTGCCTCAGCCTCCCAGACAGCTGGGACTACAGATGCATGCTACCATGCCCTACTCTTTTTTTTTTTTTTTTTTTGGCAGAAACGGGGTTTTACTTTATTTCCCAGGCTGTCAGAATTCTATGAACAAAATGAGACATAAATATCATATAGCTGTCATGGCACCTTAGTCATGGTAAAAAAATAAAATAAAAACCAGAGTTGGGGTGGGGCAGGAAGGCATAACACCAGAAGAAATGCCTGATGTAGGTGACAGGCAGGGTTGAATGGAGACAGCAAACCACCATGGCAGGTATGTACCCATGCAACAATCCTGCAGGATGCTGGATGTGCACATTTATACCAGAGCCCAAAATTTAAAAAAAAAAAAAAAAAATCACATAGCTAGGCCAGGAATGGTGGCTCACGCCTATAATCCCAGCACTTTGGGAGGCTGAAGTGGGTGGGCTGCCTGTGGTCCGGAGTTTAAGACCAGCCTGGCCAATGTGGTGAAACCCTGTCTCTACTAAAAATACAAAAACTGGCTGGGAGCACTGGCTCACGCCTGTGATTCCAGCACTTTGGGAGGCCGAGGCGGGTGGATCACCAGGTCTGGAGTTCAAGACCAACCTGGCGAATATGGTGAAACCCTGTCTCTACTAAAAATACAAAAATTATCCAGGCATGGTGGCGTGAACCTGTAGTCCCAACCACTTGGGAGGCTGAGACGGAAGAATCGCTTGAACCTGGAAGGCAGAGGTTGCAGTTAGCCGATATCACACCACTGCACTCTAGCCTGGGCCACGGAGCAAGACTCCATCTAAAAAAAAAAAACCACAAAAATTAGCCAGGCATCGTGGTGGGCGTCTGTAATGCCAGCTACTCAGGAGGCTGAGGCAGGAGAATCGCCTGAACCCAGGAGGCACAGGTTGCAGTGAGCTGAGATTGCTCCATTGCATTAGAGCCTAGGAG